ACCCTTGACGCTGCCTCACAAGCTGGAATGCCTCCAATGGTGTGATCAACGACGAACCTGGAAGCAGGAATGGCATGACGTCGTCTTTTCAGATGAAACTAGGTTCTGTATACAGCATCATGATGGCTGCATCTGTGTTTAGCGACATCGTGGAGAATGTCCATTGTTAGCTTGCATTCGACATTGCTATACTGCCCCATCTCCTGGAGTAATGGCATGGGATGTCTTTGGATACACATCTCGATCACCTTTTGTTCGCATTGCCGAAACTTTGAACAGCAGCCGTTACATTTCTGATGTGTTAAGGCCAGTTGCTCTGCCTTAGCCTCCATAACGCTACGTTTCAGCAGGGCAATGCACGACCGCATGTTGCCGGTACTGTCATCACCTTCCTTGACACAGAATATGTTTGCCTCTTGCCCGAGCCGGCGCGTTCTCCTGATCTCTCACCAATTGAAAACGTCTGGCCATTGGTTGCTGAACGACAGGCACGCCACCACTCGTCAGTCACTACGGTCGTCGAAATGTGGCGTAATGTTGAAGCTGAATGGATTGCTGTAACCGTCCATGCTATCCAATCTCTGTTCGACTCGATGCCCAGGAGAATAACTGCTGTTATTGCTGCCAGAGGAGACTGCTCTGAGTACTGATTTCTTAGGATCTATGCATTTAAATATCCTGAAAATTTAATCACTTGTTCTTCCAACTATAATGTATGTTCCCAATGCATATCATTCTATTATTTGCTTTCCTTCCTGGTGTAGCAATCTTAATGGCTAGTATTGTAAATTATTATAATGATATTTTTGTTTTATTATGGAAATAGAACACAAAATCAGTAAAATTAAAATAACGAATAGCCATTTTTAATTTTCTTTAGTGCGTTTTAACTCTAGCTTTATTGCGGTCTTTTAGCTTAAAACATCGCTAGGAAACTCATTACTTATCACGTTATGCAATAAAACCTGCATTCATATTGATCTTTTTATTAAGGTAAATAAGGATAAATATGTGAATCAGACCAATCAGACCAATTGCTCTCAAATTTTATATTTTTTGCTGTTACAAAATGTGTTATTGAAAATTACGTAAAAATTTGTAAACTTTGAAATTTAAAATTTTACTATTATTAAATAAAGTAAAAAAGAACTATTAATAGTTACTTTGAAATGAATTTATAATTGTATAATTGTGCGTAATTGATTTTTTTATTTTTTTTATTTGATTAAAAATTTCACGGATGAGTGAGAGAGCTTCGTGCTCTCGTGCCACTGGTCCTGGGTTCGATCCACGGGCCAGGTAGGGTTGCTCAGCCTTTCACTTCCTCAGTGGGTGGACAAAATGAGTACCAAGCATGCTTAGGGACAAAACACTGGGAGTTTCGCATTCGGCTGGCCACGCAACCGGAACATCTGCTCCTGGATCCCGGAGCAAGAGGTGAACAAACCTGAGATGGGCACAGAAGGCCATGGTCCTATATGGGTTGTCACACCACTGACTTTAGTTCAGTTTTACAAATTTCATGAGATGGCAAAACACAGAATAAGTACACAGAGAAAACTATTCTGGTAAAATTACTATACTAAATGCTAATGACAATTCTGGGAAAACAAAAACTTAATTTCGGTTAATAAAACCAAAATATATTTAAACCATTAATTTGGTAATTTTTCTGTTCATATGGAAACGGATCACAGGAAATTCCGGTTTTCATGATTATAGTTCTTATTATCATATATTTAGTAATAAATACAAAGCTCACAAGTAAATTTAACCCGAATAAATTACTTTTATGTCATACTCTAGGGTATCCAGATTAAAATTAACAAATATAACTACATTTACTATGTTTCATCACAAAATATGAAATCATATTTTTTCGTTAATTTTACCAAAATCCTTATCATTGCGCTTAAGTATACATTATCGTACTTGGTGTTCCCATAGAACACTGCTAATATTATGACATTTTTGCAGTTGTGACCATACTTTATCTCTCATTAACATTAGGTGGTCCAAACTTTTAACCCTTCACACGACAAATTTATTCGGACCGAATTTCTTCCTTTGCAGAATTCTCAAATCGCATTTGTTGAGAGACAGGAGTAAAGATCCAACACAAAAAGTTATGCCTACTCAGAGAAAATACATTTTTGCGTATTATTTTGTAATTTAATATTTAGTTTGCTCTAAATAAGTAACATATTTCAGGTTTAGTCTTCCGCGCATTGAGATTGATTCTTAATACGTGAAAATCTAATCATTAGAAATCTAAAGCTATTCAAAGGTTAAGTGAAAAGTTATTTATTCATTTATTGCGCACTGTATATAAACATGTCATTAAATAATTATATTTTAATTCAACTCTGGTAAGTTAATTAGTTTATTAGACTAAACTCGCTCCATTTTAATATTTTCATTAAATATTTTTCAAGCCACAACTTACATACGAATACAGATTTAAGACATTTTTGTCGCTTTTGAAGAATCCGCACACTTTTTTAATTCTTTGTTTGAATACCAATCGCTTGCCTGCATGAGTAGGATAAATTCAGGCAGTAATAAAAAAAAATAAATGTGTATCAATTTTGAGACAGTATTTGTTAACCATATCCCAATATAATAATGAAATGTATAATATATAATATTTTTTCACTACAATGACGACGATCTTTTTCATGAGTTGTATACGGGATCATTTTTTTTCATTTGTTTACTCAACTAAATTGTTTATTCAATTTTTTTTTCCATTTAGGAATTTTTTAAAATTCCTTACTTATAAATTTGAAAGTTTATTATTTGTTAATAGCACATCCCTATGGCAACCGATACTACAAATTATTTCTAATTTACCGGATGAATAAAAGATGAAAAGAACGAGAGCAGAAATGAAGTTAATCAAGGAATCATCGATTGCATGAATCAAAAAATCGATTTATTAGTGAATTGTCCATTCAGATAACGGGTGAATGAGTGAAAGGGAGTATAAATAAATGAGCATACTACTAAAAATCAAAAACATTTTTTGAAAAAATAGTTTTAGAATAACAAATATAAAGTAATTTAAACACCCACAATATGTAACGACGGCAACTTTTAAAATATATTATTATTAATATTACAAAAACATAATTTCAATGCTTGAACATTTTATGATTTTTTAAATTTAAATTTTTTTTGACCATTGAATAACAATTTTATATTTCCTATCGAGTCCTTAGTGGAGTATTTAATTTTTTTAAAAAGAATACATAAAATTAATCCCGGGAATGTTTTTAAAGTTAAAAGTTATGGTTCTCAAAGTACATACAAAATAAGCTATGGATTAAATTAGAGAAGTTATTTTTAAATTATAATGACTAATAGAGATATTGTACAAACATGGTAGAATGAAAGATTAAAATAGAAAGAAATCTATGTAACGAATAAAAAATATTAGTATAAAAATAATAATAAACTATTAAACCGAGTATTTATGTACATCTGTATTTATATTTAAAAAGAAATTAAAGTTTATTTTTAACTATATATATTTTTTTGAAGTAAAAGTATTATTTGAGGATTAGGTAATAAAAAGCAAATGAATGTATAAATTTTGCGGTAGTATTACGCGTTTTTTATTGCACTCATACTTGCAGCTTAAAAAACTTATATAATTGAAAGCTACTAAAACCAAACGTTTTAAAAATGCTAAACAATGAAAGCTTTAAAATATAAAAGCTAAAAAATTAATTCCACAATGTTACTTATTATCTACTACTTTTAATCAGGTTAAATAAGTTTATTTTTAGAAGCCAATAAAAGAGTATTTCAAAAAGATCAATAATTTTAATATTATTCTACACATTTAGAGAATTTTAATCTTTGTACAGTTGAAACCTAAGCAATGTTTTTTTTTATCATAGCATTTTTATTTATTTCAGTTGAACTATTCTGTTTTTTTTTTTATTTTAGTAATAAATAAAGTAGTTGATTTAGATTAGGTATATAATATTTTTTCTACGTATATAGAAATATTAAAATCTTCCAAATCTCAAACTATATACGTAAGCAAAGGCATACATAAAACTACGAAAACTTTATGTTTTATAAAAATATATATAAAATATTTTGCTTATCATTAAAATCAGTGCATCCAAAGCAAAGTATTTCTTAATCCATGAAATGTGTGTTAATACCAGAATTCAAGTTGAAAAAGTACAATTCTGAACTCTAAAACGTCAGAGCATCCAGAAGATTTCAAAATTGAAAGCAACGAATATAATAATAATTTCCGGTGCATTTAGCTTTTTCAATTTTAAAACGAATCAAAGCTGTCTTAATATAAAACCTCTGCTGTTAAACAAAATATGGAAGTAAAATTTTCTTGAATGTAAGATCTTTTTGGTATGGGAAAAATAAAAAAAACAATAAAACGGAAGATATGTCAAATCTTTCTAGAAGGTTCTATAACAATAAATATTGCAAAATTGTCCGGCGTTCTTAACCAAACAAATCTCAAAAAAGAAAAAAATTCCTTGTATTTAAAATTTTAAGAACAATGTCACGGATATGCTAGAACATGTCTAATAAATAAGGAATAGTTCAAAATAAAAGTGATATTTAATGCTCGATGAGTTGATAATAGAAACCAAAGTAAGTGACGTAAAATTAGACAATCATTCATAAAATCATATTCATACGTAATCAAATAAAAAATGTAACGAAGTATTGAGTTACTTATTATTACACATACGTTTTAATATTTTTATAACATGGTTAATTGGATTTAAAGCCTCATCATAACGATTGTACGATACAAAATGTGGTTCATTTATTATCTGCAAAACAAAGTCATTTTCGTTCATGACATGAATAACCATATAACTAACGTCCGATGCAAAAGAAAAAAAGACTAGAATACGTGTTTGTAAATGGTAGCGTCTATTTTTAAGCAAATGAATGATATCATGATAAGAAATATTAAATCAAAAATATAATTAGAAAAAAAATTGACATACCATGCATCCATCCTCGATTTCTGGCACAATTTGTTCCTTGGACAAGAAAAACTATCACAAATGTAATAAGAATCCTTCTAACGCAATAGTTTTCCAAACACTGTGATTGTTTCAGTTTCCAGTATTTACAAAACATCATATATTTATTTTTCTGAGTTTCTAGTCTGAGAAACTTATCGAACCAAAATTTCCAACTTTTCAGTAGAAAAAAAATTTCTTTGGCGCTATATCAACAACCGCATCTCTTTTTTTAATATTTTTCTTCATATATCGATAACTTTTTGAAGGAGATATATTTCACTTGGCATCCGTAACGTAGGCGAAAAAAATTCACTCTCAGTAAAACTTTTTTTTTTCTTTTCAATTCAACTCTTTTGGCAGGAAAGTGGCTAACAATAAAGAAATCGTGAACGAAAATAAAGAAAATTCGCCTAGCTTTTGTGCCAAGAACGTGGAAAACGTGACTGCCGCTCTCAAAGAACGGCGATACCTTAACAAAAATTACCAAGTTTTGTGTACTTGGCGGAGTTTGGCTCTCGCACAACTTGCGCCAGGAGCTAGACTGGCTGCATGTGGTGTTAGTTGGGAGCTTTTATAGTTGGTTGGGAGCTCTTCTGGTGTTAGCCGCGATGCACGCACGTTTTGCATGATCTGTTTCTGAACCCCGTTGTCTTTGTTCCTCTGTATCGGGGAGGGTATCTTTCACAAAGAGGGATTAAATATTGCTTTTTTTTTATAAGTTTTGTCGGACGTAGGGGTTTACCAAATATGATTTATGGTCTAAAACACTTAATTGGGTCGGGAACTTTTTATTAGCTTTATGAAATCTCCTGAAACGATCGGAAATTATATAAATAATCATAAAACTTTGTTTAACTTCTGGTACAGAAATTTTTTCCGATATTCTATACTGTGTCCACAAAAATAACTTACATAGTGATTTATTTAAAGAATGAAATAAATAGTTGCATAGATTGCTTTAATATTTGATGGTTCGATAGTCATATAAATTTATTATGAGATTGTTTCAGCATTCAATATTGTTATATTTTCCAAATTTGTAGAGTTTAAACATGCATGTTTCTTCTCCAAAAATTTGTTTACAGTAAATTTAATGCATCATATATTGTCTTATTTACCATTAGTTTTACTTAATTATTTAAACAGTTAAACTGATAGTTAATTTATCTAAATGATGCAAGCGTATGAGATAATTAGTAGCATATTAAATTTTAAACTATTAAAATTTTTTTAACCCCTTTTGGTAGATTGTCTACAAAAAGAATCTCAAATGTTTTTTTAAATTACTTGAGTAATTTTATGTTACTGAAATTCTTTTTAAAATTGTCTTTATTATTTTTTTCAAATTGCCGTAATTTTAAAAATTTAAACATTCGTTAAGCCAAAATTTTTTTTTATTCCTATAAGGAGACATATTTTATTTTTCCATTGGTAGTGTCATTCAATTTCCTTCAAATAACGATTTGTGAATTAAATACTTTTTTTTTAATTTATAACATGGTTAAAAATAACTTATATTCCAAAATATTTGAAAAACATTATTTTATGGTTCCTAATATAATCAGCAAGCTGTAATTCAACAATGTGAGGAAAGTTATGAAACATAATAAGTTACTTGAATTAGTATTAATAATGTAGAACAAATAACTGTTTTAATAAAATTTCGAAATAATGGAATAATCAAATTTTCCAAATTACTATCAATTTTTGTATAATTACCTGCCCAATAAAATTTCATTAGTCACTGAAGAAGCTTTTAAAAATTGAAAATCATTTTTATAACAAAAGCGTTCTATAACGTTCTTATCGTAAAAGATTAAGATTAAAGTAAGTTATTATGACTTAAAATTAATCGTTTGAGTTCATAATTTTAATTTCAACGAAACAGCAAACGATTTTTTATAAACAAATAAAATCCTTATAATTATCATATGTATCGCTTGCTTGTTTTTCTCATATTTTATAAAAAGATATTCAAAGGTTACAATGTTCTAACTTTCAAAAAAAGAACTGAATTTAAAATTTTTAACTGTCTATTATTGTTTAATCTAAGGTATTAAGATTCTTCAAAATTAAAATTTTTAAAAGCATGATATGTTACTAAAAGAGGTAACTTTTAGTGCTCTTATAAATAATTTATAAACTCATGTTCTTATAATATTTTATAAAATCAAATATATAAAAAATATTTTTATTTTAAGATAACGTAATTTTATTTTTATAAGAAAAATATGCATATAAATAAGAAATTCCAATTAAAATTAATATTTATAAACTGTTTTTGTATTTGGATTAAACAAATATTTTCAAATTTTATCAGGAAAATAATGATTTTAATATATTTTTCAAGATCTATTCGTTTTAAATAATTTTTATCCAATTTATAATTTAAAGCGTTTTCGGCATCCAAAAGAAAAGCTAAGTATGATTTTCATTTAAAAAGCAGCAATGCATCACATCAATGATCACAATAAAATTAAAGATGTTAAAATGAAAATTTATTAAAATGTTTCACTTTTCAAGTAGTATTTATAATTTATAAGCAAAACTGCAATAAATTTAGTTTTCCAAACATTGTTCAACGAAATTTAAATATTTGAACCTCATTTGCTTTAAAATTGGAAGAAAAGAAGGTAATATATGCATTTTAGTTTCATTCTTAAATATAACTTTAGAACGCTTAAGGTTTTAAACTGCTTTTTTGTAAAAAAAAAAAAAACATTTAAAGCATGCTATTTTATTTAGTCTATTATTATTATTAATCATACCATTCTATTTAATTTATTACTTAACTTTAGAATGTTTAACTTTTTGAGCTGTATTTTTGTAAAAAAAATTCATTTAAATCATGCTGTTTTATTATAAAATTAAAAAAGTGTAACGAACGTAGCGCTTAAGGCTTATTTTTTATTTTTATATTATAAGCTTTTTTTTTCTTTACATTTTCACGTTTTTTAATGAAATTTATCATTCAAACCCGCGCCATTTAAATGCTATCTAGAATAAAGGAAGCAAAAGGGCAAATGTAAATGTTTATAGCACTTCAGAATAGTGCAGCCATTTACATTATTTGCATTCGAATAAGCTATCACCATTGCGCAAATTGCCTAGTAATCGCATCTTATGTTTAATGCCAAAGAGCGCCAAATGTCGAGACATATCAACATTCTCTTTTATTCCTCCTCGCCATTTTCTCTCCCTACATTGTTCTCTTCTTTGATGTGTTCCTGAAAAAAAGGCCATAAGAGTGTAACAAAAAGCTATAATCAGGAACTTAGAGAGAAGAAATCCTGCCAAATACCCTCCTCTACATTTTATAGCTATTTTTCTTCTTTCTTTGTGTTTTCATGTAAATTCCATGAGCACGAAATCATACAGCATTCCTTTGATGCTGTCAAGCGAAAAAGTAAAGAAACTGAAAGCAGACACGTGATCTTTCTGGCTCAATTTTTAGTTGAAAAAGCTAAAACGAGATAAATCCACCTACAGAAAGATATGCGAAGAATGTCAAGGTTTCATTTAGAGGAATTCTGGCTTTAATTTCTATTTTATATCCTTTAAATAGGAGTAAAACATATAAATCTATTCTTCCTTCAAACCTTTTTGACGGCCTGCTACACTTGGTTTAAAAGAGCCGTGGTGGCTCAATGGATAAATTGTTCGTATTCCAATACTGTGAGCTGAGTTCGAATCCCAGCGATGACCGGTGGATGCGAATTCTACAGCCGGCTCGCATCGACTATAGTGCTGACGTAAAACATCTTCAGTAGTAGACGGATCATAGGTGAGAGTCCCCTTGCCATCAGATAAATCGGGGGAGGTTTTCATTGTTTTCCTCTGCATGTAACACAATTGCGGATTAGTTCCATTAAAAAGTTTTCCATGAAGCCAAATTTCTATCAATACTAGATCAAAAAGTTCCCTTGTCTTTTGGATTGAATTCATAATTACAGGGCTACGAAATGGAATATTAGTAGTCGTAAACCCAAAATTGGGTCGGCTAGTCAACGACTGGTATAAAATTGATTTAAAAACAAGTTCATGTGATAGAAAAAAAGGTTTAAAAGTTAACCGAAACTCCCAATCAATTAACAATGTAAGCAGAAGTTATTAATCACATTATAAAAATGTTAAACGAAAAAATAATTCTAGAAGTTAGAAAAAATAATTCTGTTAAGAGTTACATAAGTATAGTTATAAAGGAAATATTGATTAAATGAGAAGAAACTTGATTGCTTTTGCATGTAATAATTCGTTTATTTATTTTAATGAATACATATGAAAAGTTTTCTCTCTGTCTCTCTCTTTCTATATATATATANTTAATTTAACTACAATGATATGAGAAAGAACGTTAGCCGATCCTAAGAAATTGAGAAGTTAAAGTTATAAAAGGTAGTAATTTTATTGCAAAGTAAATAATAAATTAACTTATATACAATTTACTTATAATATATTATATTATTGTTCTGAAATATATGTCCTTTACATGTTCTTCTAAAAACGCATGCATGTTGTCCATTAATAGGTTTAATAATTATAAAATATAGAAACTATTGCTGTAAAAAAATGGGTGTTTTTCTGTCTCCACAGTGATTCTCATAGGCCTCCTAACATTTCTCAGGAATTTTAGTAGATTTATGTAAGTAAAATAAGTGTCTTACTTTTTATTCGGAAAGAAAAATTAGCCAAAGCAATGTTACGTGTAGATTAATTATTCAGAAACTATTGGCGGTGACCTTAAATGAGATAATTAATAAATGCAGACGATATTTTAAGATACAAAAACAGACACAAAAACGTTCTTTATTTGAACATACCTTTTTGCAACGGATTCAAATTTCTGACTCTCAAAATATAACAATCTAGAAAATATGGTTCCTATAGTTTGGTCAGGAAAGCAATTCAAAATTTGGACACCTTAATGTTAGTTTTGTTTTTTGCTCATTTTGACAGATTTCGAGAACTTTTTAAGCGAATTGAAAAATTTATGCACACAAATATAATTTTTTTTTATTTAAAACAATTTAAATGTAAAAAATAACTTTTAAAATATGTTTTTCTTTATTTTCCATTATTTTATTTAATGATGGTTGAAAAGAATTTAACTGTAAGGAATACAATTTTTCACATCACTTCAAAGAATATAATTTTAAATGACAAAACGAAATCGGTTGAAAAGATCCTGCAAAATTGAATTTCAAAAATATCAGATATTTAAATTTCGATTTCTCAAGAATTTTTCGTCCAATTTTTCTCAAATTTTGTATTTTGCCATTTTAAATTATAATCTTTAAAATGATGCAAAAATTTGCCTACCTTACAATTCAATGTTCCGACGATTGCTAAATAAAATAATAAATATTTTTGAAGGAGTTTTTTTTTTTTTTGCATGGAAATGTTTTTGAATAAACGAATTTTATAATAATGTGAAATTTTTTTCTTCCAAATCACTTGAAGTCTTCTCGAAATATGGCAAAATACGCAGAAATTAAAATTAACATTAAAAGTTCTAAACGTTACAGCGCTCTCCTGATTAAACTACTGGAACCATATTTCCCAGATC